GATACCCAGGTGACAAACGTTGACGCCCTGGCTGCATGTACCAGCCTGCACACACTTAACCTGAGTGTTACCGGGGTAACAAATGTTGACGCCCTGGCTGCATGCGCTAGCTTACACACACTCGACCTAAACTATACCCAGGTGACGAACGTCGACGCCCTAGCTGCGAGCACTAGCTTGCACACACTTGACCTGAGTGTTACCGGGGTAACAAATGTTGACGCCCTGGTTGCATGTACCAGCCTGCGCACACTTGACCTGAGTGATTCCGGGGTAACAAATGTTGACGCCCTGGTTGCATGTACCAGCCTGCACACACTACAATAAAAAAACCTTACATACATTTTATTAAATATGTCCCTTTTTCGTAAGAGGTTATTTTAAACATCAAAGGGAACTTCAAAGGGTCAGATATTTAGAACCTCTTTGAGATGTTGGGGGTTTGTTGGCGATGAGTATTGTGTGGTTTTAATGTATCAAATTATATAGACGCTGACCCCGACCCTAAACCCTAAACTCTTTAACGACTAATAACCCTATAACCCCAAACCACGTGTGTGGTATGCATGAGTCATTGTGGCCAGTAGTCGGGGGTGGTTCACCGATCGCCCCTAACCGGTCAACCACCCTTGTTTGGGGCTTCATTTTGCCGACGCGACTAGTATAAAACCGTAGACCCGATCCAGTTCAACTTCACAATCTCAGTCTCACCGATTTAGTTTTTGCGTGTTAGAGCCGCTGGTCCAAATCCCTTGAACGATGACTGCCCCTACTCTGTTTAACTTATCACACGATTGTCTCCGACGCATTCTTGGTTTTCTTAATCCTCCGAGTGCGCTGGAACTGTGCGTAGCGTACGCACGACCCGAAATGATGGATTGGTTTTACGAAGACGGAGGAGTGTACACATACGACGGGACAGATCATTTTCTACCCCCTAGACATGTTAAACATTTGCGCTATACTGGCGTATCACTGAACGTCGACGAATTGGCCGCATACACCAGCCTGCACACCCTCCGCCTGGACTATACCAAGGTATCAAATGTCGACGCCCTGGCCGCGTGCACAAGCTTACACACACTCGACCTGAGATATACCATACTAACGAACGTTGACGCGCTAGTTGCGTGCACTAGCTTGCGCACCCTCAGCCTAGACTGTGCCGAGGTAACAAACGTCGACGCCCTGGCCGCGTGCACAAGCTTGCACACACTTAAACTGGGGTGTTATCAGGTGACAAATGTGGACGCCCTAGCTGCATGCACTAGCTTGCACACACTCGACCTGAGTAGAGCCAGGGTAACAAATGTTGACACCCTAGCCGCGTGCGCTAGCTTACACACACTCAACCTCTCCAATACCATGGTAACGCACGTCGACGCCCTAGCTGCGAGCACTAGCTTGCACACCCTCGACCTGCACCTTTGCAAGGTAACGAACGTCGACGCCCTGGCCGCGTGCACTAGCTTGCACACACTCGGGCTAAACTATACCAAGGTAACGAACGTTGACGCCCTAGCCTCGTGCACTAGTTTGCACACACTCGACCTGCGCTCGACTGCGGTGACGAACGTTGACGCCCTGGCCGCGTGCACTCGCTTGCACACACTCGACCTGTACCGTACCAATGTGACAAACGTCGACGCCCTGGCTGCGAGCACTAGCTTGCACACACTTTACCTGAGTAGAACCGAGGTAGCAAACGTTGACGCCCTGGCTGCGAGCACTAGCTTGCGCACACTCATCCTATTCTTGACCAGGGTGACAAACGTCGACTCCCTGGCCGCGTGCCCTAGTTTGCACACACTCTTCTAGACACGCTCACATCTAAAACAATAAAAATATTCTAAAACAATACAATTTCATTTTTAGTTATAGGGTGAAGAAGGTTGGAGTTGAAGGTGACACATAAGTATCGTTAATGTTTTAGGTCCAGAACAACTTGTATTAGAGTTTAGGGTTGTACTAACAGAAATGGATTTAAGGGTTTAGATTAAGTTGAGGTTGTTTATTTATTTGTGGTATATACATTTCACACCTACACCAGAGACTACTTGACGACAGAGTTTATCATTTCGCTTTCGTTGACTACATCTATTTGTCCCCGGGGATTTAGGTGTTAGAGACTTTTTTTGGTGGTATGTGCACAGACCGTTTGCTAACAGTTTCGTCTGACGACACGGCTTCCCATTGAGTTTTACGGTCGGACACCTGGGTCCTCGGGTGATTTTGGGGTTTAGCAATGTATTAACTGGAGGCGGTGGTCCGTACATTTCGGTTAGCTGGCGGTTCACAAAATCTACATCGATTTCATTGTCGTCGTCTCTAGCGTACGTGAGCATAACGTACTTAGACAGTTCAGCGTCCCCCGTATGACGCAGACCTTGCAAGATTGGCCACCAAATTTCCAGTCCGTCGTTGAATAGACCATCGGCCACGGTACATTTCTGGGCGAAAAGCTTGGCCGAACTGCATCTTTCAGCCTTTGCATCAAGCTCAAGCTTGGCCATCCGTACCCGGGTCCAGGCGATCCAATCTTCATCTCCTTCGTTCATGAACATTTTTGTTTCAGGGGTGATTGAGTGAGTTTTAGGGGTTTGGGTTATCTTTAATTGTGGGTTAGGAACAGAAAGTGAACCTCAACCCCGACCGAACTTTCGTTTAAATAGCGGGGTTGGATATGAACCCCATGCATTACTATCGCGCAGAGTCGGTTGGGGGGTTCACCGATCGCCCCTTACCGGTCAACCACCCATAATCGGTGCCTCATTTTGCCGACGCGGCTAGTATAAAACCGTAGTCTCGATCCATCTCAACTTCA